ACCAGTGAAACAACAGTTTTAGCCAGGACTGATTATTGGTTCATTCATTTGTTGAACTCGCATTTATTCTTTGAGCAGATCCTGAGCTGGTCCCTGGGGGACATAATGATAATCGAGACCCAGGCCCAGCCCACAAAAAGCTCTCAGCCTAGTGCTGTTGGTCCCCATAGTAGTTAAATTGCAAAAAATAAATTTTTAAACTCTGTGTTGCCTTATTCCCATGGCTACCTCTTTATGCTTCCCTGCTTGGGTTTGGAAATGCATATCCCATGACAGTTTCTTAAGGAATTGTCCCCAAAGATCAGTCTGTGCCATATCAGATATTCCAGTGCTTCATGTCGTTGGGTTTCAGACAAAACACTTCTCCACACTCTCCTTTATGGCCAAGGGGGGGAATGAAATATCCTGTTGGTTTCTGGGGAAAAAAAAACAGCACAGGCTGTGGGGCCAGTGAGCACCCCCTTGCTTTCCCAGGGACACTGAAGGGTGATAGGGGGTGGAATTTTTATTGGGGGCTGCGGGAGGGATCATGACAGCTCAGGAGGGAAGATCTGGCTGGGAGACGAAATGGCCTTGGAAGGGTTAGAGCTGATGCTCTGGACCAGGGTAGGGGTAGAAGGATGGGGGTGGGGCAGTGGGGAGGCCCTGCCCAGCATGCTGTCCTCCCCTCGGCCGCCAGGGGGAGCTCTGGAACCCACGTGGCCCAGCGCAGCATCCTGCTTCCCTCCTAATGCACTTCCGGGTTCCCACTTAGCCTTGTAGACAGTTGCTTATCTGTTCTGAGCCTCAGTGTTCCCATCTGTGAAATAGAGATGAATTTGGCTGCTGTTTATTGAGCTCTGGCCCTGCGACCTGAATTTAAAAAATCCCAATTCTGGCATTTACTTGCCGTAGGACCTTGGGCAAGAGGGACACCTTTTTGGATTTCCTTGTCGAAACGGGGCTCATGATAACAGGTGTGTATAGACACGGTAGTGTTTGTATGAAATGGGATAATTTATGCGAAGGGCTTGGTTGGCAATGGTGCTTGGCACGTGGTCACAATAGAAAGCAGATGTATGATTATTTTCTCATTTCTTGTTTTCTTATTATTATTTCTTCTCTTCTTCTCCCCCCCCCCTTTCTCTTCCTCTTCCTTCGGGTTTATCATCAGCCATTTTTACCTGTGTCTCTGTGTATAGCCTCATACGTTTTGCCCACACCTGGCTCATCTGGTAGCCAGATTTTGAAATTACCAGGTTGGAGCCTGAGTTTTTCATTATGAAGGTCTGCACGGGATGGATGCTTTGTTAATATTGGTTCCATCTGTCTGGCCTTCTGTTTGTCCCTCGGACTCCCAAGTTGTTTCCAAAGGCTCCAGGTCTACCCTGCCTCTATGCACATTTCTGCGTGGTGGCATTTCTCAGAAGGCACCAACAGCCAGGACCCTCTGCAGGGAGACAATAAACCGCCCTCCCTCCACCTCTTTCCCTTTCCGTGCACTAGAAATGAAAATATGTAAGAAGAAATGTCGATCATTTTTACCCCTGAGAGTGCAGGCACTGGAGATGTACAAAATCCTGCCTCTGTGTGTCTGCATGACTTGTTATCAGAAAATTAGAGGAGAAAAGAAGCTTTTGTTCAGCTATGGAGACATCTTAATAGGTGCTTTGATTGTTAAACAGAAGTTTCTCTATCAGTGTAATTGCTATAAATGTTGTTTGCCTTCTCTGTTATGATAAAGCCCGGATTTTCATAGATTTTTCCCCCCTTCCTTTTCAACAGTTTCCCTTTGCTTTAAGGCTTGCATTAGCAAGTTTAATAAAACCCAAATGAAGAAAGTAAAGAGACGATCTCAAAGTTCAAATCTTCATGCCCACGGACGCAGCCACGGGGGGGAGGTTATTATTGCTTAAGACTGACGAGGCTGCAGCCACTTAATGTAATTGACAGAATTCGCCCCTTCAACCAGATATCGGGAAATGAAACCAACTACCAAACTTAATTACATCTACTTTTTTGAAAAGGTGCTGTAATGGAGAATAACAGAATAACTCGGATATGAATCTAAAATAGTAGAATGTGCTTATAATAAAATAGGATTTGCTCTCTGCTTACTTAAGCTTCGGAAGCACTATCTGGTGGTTTTTCTCATTTTCTTTTCTGGAAGGGTGGTGGGGAGGGGGGGGTTGGCTAGAGAAGTGGAGAAACATCTAGATCAGGAATTCTTAACCTTGGCACTATTGACATTTTGGGCCATCGAATTCTTTATTATGGGAATCTGTCCTGTAATCCCTGGCCTTTCCCCACTAAATGCTAGTAGCACACATGCACACCCAGTGTGGCAACCAGAAACGTCCCCAGAGATTGCCAAATATCCCCTGCGGGGCAACAGCACCTCTGGTTGAGAACACCGGTACAGGTGCTCCTGGAGGACTTTGGAACAATTGCAGAGTTAGTTCTTGAAATTCTGCTGGTGCCTGGCTGTGTGGCCTTGAGCAAATCGCTGCAGCTCTCTGAGCTCCTTTGTCTTCCTTTGTGCAGTGGGAATAATGAAAGCACTGACTGCTCATAGGCGTAGCTTCCAGGTAAAAAATGCACAGCAGAATGCCTAGCACATGTTTAGTAATCAATAAATTCAGTGTTTCTATTATAATAACCTCGGATTCAGCAAACATGAATTAAGTACTGTAGCACCCACTTTGCCCCAGGCACTATGATATAAGGTGCTGATGCAAAGATGGGACGTGAGGGTACTACCTTATTCTTTACCCATGGCAGACATTGCTAATCGATTTCAGTGCTCTTTCCCATTGAGCCTCAGAATCCTTCTCAACACTTTCTAAATCCTTCTCAACCTTTCTAAACGGTCACTACTAGTGGCCCATGAGATGCAGCCCATTCGTTAGGCACTCTTGGTTTTGTAGATTACTCATGAGGAGGCTGGACTTCCCTCCCATCTCCACCCACCCCCAGCACCGGAGAGAGCACCTTAAGGTGCTAACAGGTAGCAAGCGAGCACCTTAAGGTGCTAACAGGTAGCAGGCATCCTTCCCTGCACATCTGACTTCAATCCCCAAAGGAGGCAGGAGTGGAAAGAAGGCTCTCTTTTCTTTGATTGTTTTTCTTTCTTGTCTTTTTCGTTTCCCTTAGAAACTGAAACAAGTAGTAAAATGGGCTTGAGCTGGATGACATTTAGTTTTTAGTTCAACTAGAGGAATTCCAAAGGCTTATAATTCTGATTGATATATCATGCTGTCTCTGCCTTGGGTTTTCTCTGCCCTTCGGGGCTCGGGAAATCATTAGCTTTCTCAAAAAGGGTCCCAGCTTTACAGGGGCAGAATTAGGATTTCTGGAAACAGCTTTCAGATGGCTTCAGACAGTGTCATCAGACAGAGGAGAGGAGTGAGTAGGTTGGGGGTTAAATGCTCCCGATAGGTTCTGACATGCCCGGCTCCCCGATGAGAGTTCCTCTCCATAACAATTGCTGTGAAAAATGAGGCGTGCATCTGCAGCTCCGAAAATGGGGAGCTGGCTCCATCCATCTGGCCTGAGAAATGAGAACTGGCGTGTGGGTCAGGCACTTGCTGCTTGTCTCCCTAGCTGGTGGAGATTTCACAGGCGGCACTAGTTCATTTCTGCTGTTGTTTCACACCTCTCCGGGGCCTTTGAGGTCTGCCAGGAGGGTGGTGTGGGCAGCTGAGCAGTAGGGTAAGGGTGGGGGCTGGTGCTCAGGGTCTGCAAAAGACCCGGAACTCAGTCAGTGCTGGAGTGAGTGTGATAGTGCAGTTTGCTGGGATTTAACCCAAGGCATGAAAGGAAAGACCAGATGGGAACTGACACCTAGTCTCAAGTGTGCATAGTTTACTGTTTCTTCCTTATCCCATCCACCCATCAATCCATCCACTCATCTATTTACTCACCTACCCATCTGTCCATCTACCCACATGTACAACCATTCATCCACCCACCTATCCACCCCCCTATCCATCCATCCATGCATCCATCCACCCACCTATCCACCCCCCATCCATCTACCTATCTATCCATCCCCTCACATGTACAACCATTCATCTACCTACCTATCCACCCACCTATCCATCCACCCCACATCCATCAACCTCCCCATCCATCCACCCCCCATCCATCTACCTATCCATCCATCCACTCACTCACCCACCTGTCCACCTATCCATTCAACTCCCTACCCATCCATCCTCTCATCCATCCATCCACTTATTCTAGCATAACTTTAGGTGGTACCTGGTTGGGCATCTTTTAAATAATTATAATACACAGTAAGTGACATGGCTTTCCATAGAGAGTTTGCTCTTAAAATAAATGTATTGAAACAAAAAGATGAGGTCAACCTAAAACGTTAAGTAAATAACTTCACAGTGGTCCAGAGCCATGGCAAAAATTAAGAACATGATACTTGCATGACCAGTGTTTGGAATATACCACGTTATAATTTTGCATGCCAAGGCATGTGTTCTAGAGTCCCTTGAGCCTGAATTCACAGCTGCTATGCAGCCTACAAGGTGTATGACCTTGAGCAAATGACTTCCCCTTTGCAAGTCTCAGTTTCCTCATCTGTAAGGTGGGGATGCTAGAAACCCCTATTCTTGGGGCGGTTTTGAGAAAGCAGCAAGGTGAGTCACTCGGCGCATGCGTGGCACGCACGTAGCTCTCCGTCAGTGGAAATGGTGATCGGGCTTATTCCTTCCACAGCTGGCTCCTTTTAAGTCATCCCCTGGGCAGGGCAGGGCAGGGCAGGGCAGGGCAGGGCAGGGCAGGGCAGGGCAGGGCAGGGCAGGGCAGGGCAGCCCTCGAACCTTGCGTGAGTTGAGGTAGCAAGCTAAACCAGTGTTCCACTTGGCTTTGCTGTAGCAACTCATGGCGGCTGGAGTGCTTCCTGAGGTCAGCAAGCCTCCGTTTCCTCCCGGGGCTCGGCCAGAGCCCGCCCCAGCCTCTGACCCTCTGTGTAACAGGCTCTTCCCCTCTTCTCTCCTCCCCTGCAGACACGCTGTCCGTGCCGCGCTGGTCCCCGCAGATCCCTCGCAGAGACCTCGGCAACTCCATCAAGCACAGGTAGGATGGACTCCTGTGTGCACCGGTGCCCCGCAAGGGGTGGCAGCTCTGGCCCCTGCCCTGGGGTGGGGGAGGGCTGGGCGGAGTGCTTTTGCTCTAGCTTCTACATCACCATGCCCCTTTCCCCTCTGCTAGGCGAAACCTCAGAGTGGCAGCCAGGGTCTGAGGTCTGCTTCTTGTTAACCTAGCCCTTATGAAATCTGCACATAGTGGTTAAAAGCCCGGCGCGTTGGAATCCGCCTGACCCTGTTCCATTCCCGGCTGGTGGAGCTTTGCAATCCTGAGAAAGTTACTTACCTTCTCTGAGGCTCAATTTTTTCATCAGAGAATTCTGCCTACCTGTAGGGTGGGTGTGAGGATTAAATGAGATAATATACGTGAGGTGTTTGGTACATAATAAACACTCAATAAATGGTATCATTGTTAAACACTTTATACCCTACTTTTGGGTCTTCCCACCCAGAAGGCACAAGATAGCAGGCTGAACTTAGAGGTGCTCATTCTGGGAGGTGCAGGTCAGCCCAGAGCTGCAGCCTTGCTGGGTCACGGGACAACCTCTTTCAGGTTTCACCTGCCCTCTTTTGGAGGGGGATTTTTATCTACTAGCCATCCTTTTTATAAAGGAGTTCTTTAACTTTCCAAATTTAACTGTCCCCAGTTTGTCTACTTAGCCTCACAGTCTCCTTACAAACTCAGTGGGGGGGGGGGGCAAGTGTGGTCATGCCCCTTTGGTAGGTGGGGAAACTGAGGCCCTGGAAGATTAAGCGGTGGGTCTAAAAGCTAATTAGCCTCAGCACTCTGCGTGTCTTTGATACCACTGCTGAGAGTTTTCCGTGCACCGGGGGTCTGTGAACTCGCAGGGCGTCCTGTTCACTCGTTCATGGGTGGAAAGAATCCATTTACAGCGGTTGTGTGCCATGGTCGCAGCACTGGGCAAGACGTAAGGGCTGTGCCCGCGGGGAGCTCGGGCGTCGAGGAGGGTCAGAGTTAACAGACAGTGACAGCACGCAGGGGCCCGGGCTCTGCGGGGGTGACGTCAGGGGCAGACACGTGGCCGCAGCCGGCGGCGAGGCGGGAGTGAGCACTCCCAGGAATGGCAGCTCGTCAACAGTTGTTGAAAGAAGTATGTTGACAGCATAGTTGTTAAGACTCAAACAAGATAGCATTGGAGGAAGCAGTGAGAAATAGGTGACAGACACGTCAGTGGTCAGTGGTCGGGCAATGAGCTGCAGGGAGAAGGGTATCAAAGCCAAGGGCCTTTCTTTGCGTTTGCTTCCTCGCTGCCCTCTGGCCGGGCCCCACCTCTGGACTGACCACAGCCCCTGATACACCCCATCCCCCTGTTTGGGGGATGCCTTTGGCTCGGCTCCTCCCCTGTACTGGCCACGCCCCCATGCTGGCCACGCCACGCATCGCCACACCTCTTGCTTGGCTCCACCCTTGGGTTGGCCACGCCCCATGCTGGCCACGCCCATACATTGCCAGACCTCTGGCTCAGCTCCATCTATGCGATGGACATGCTCATATGCTGGCCACGCCACGCATCGCCACACCTCTTGCTCGGCTCCACCCTTGGGTTGGCCACGCCCCAATGATGGCCACGCCCACACCGCCACACCTCTGGCTCTGCTCCACCCCTGGGTTGGCCACGCCCCATGCTGGCCACGCCCATCCATTGCCACACCTCTGGCTCAGCTCCATCTATGGGTTGGCCACACCCCTGGTTCAGGGCCGCCTTTGGGTTGGCCACGCCCCTTCACAGCTCCTCCCCCCTCCCGGGCAGCCACGCCCCTGGCTCAGCTCTACCCCAGATTGGCCACACCAGTGGCTCCATACCACACCCCTGGGTTGGCCCCGCCGTTGGCTCAGGTCCACCCTTGGGTTGTCACACCCCAGGCTTAGCTCCACTCCCCAGGATCTCCCCGCCCCCAGGCTCTCCTGTAGTCCCTCAGATGCAGATGCTGATGCCCAAAGGAGGAAAGCAACCCCATAATTTGGGGCATGGGAAATGACTTCCTAGAGGAGCTGGAACTTGGGATGACCTGTTACTCCTCAGCCTCACCCTGTGTTTCTCGCCGGGCTCCATGCCAGGAGGGGGAGACCTGGACTCACACCAGCCTTGGTGAAGAATGAAATTAAAATCCCATCTGCTGCCATCAGAGCCACTTCAGCCAGAGCCAGGGAAGAGGGAGAGCTGATTCTGGGGACAGGAGAAGGCTGGGAAGGAGGGAAAACTGCCCCTCCCCTCAGGACGCCAGCCCTCCACCGCTGCGGGGTGGCTGATAGGTGACACACAGGGTCCTTTGCCACCGCCCAGAGCTGCCCAGACCTGCAGAACAGACCCTGCTAACCTCGCTGGCCCTGCTGAAGGGACAGCAAGTGGCTTCACCACCCCCAGGGCCAACACTGGAGAGGGAGCGTTTTCTTGGCAACGAGCGTGTGTGCTCAGAATGTTGCTGTTTGCTTAGATTTGGAGGCCTCGGGCTGTGGCTCATCCTGCTTGAGAGTGACTGACCCAGATCGGGCAAGATGGAGCAGCAGAGCGATGCAACCTTTCCCTCAAAATTCCGAGACTCCGAGTTACATAAGCACTTCCGTTTTCCCTTTTGACACTCAGAGGCAGTGGAGATTAGATACGAGTCCTGCTGACGGTGACACAAATTGAAAATTAAAATTAACTGTGACCTGGCAACCTTCAGTACTTTTCTTGGGCCGAGCCCTGTTGCTGCCTCGTATCTCTTGGGGAAGAAAGCACCCCAGCGACATCGGCAGGGAGAGGGTGGGGTCCCCAGGGAGTTAACCTCCCGCCCCTCTGCTCCTGCTGGCTCACAGCGGTGCGTGGGAGACCTCCAGCCTGCCTTCCGTTTGCAGCAAGCAAAGTTTGAAGTTTGAGGTCTCAGCTCTCTTGGGAGGGGAGGGCCCCCCTTAAAGCTCCCGGGTGACGTGACTAGCGGTGACAGATAATGGGTTAGCTGGGCTCCCGGGAGGCCCCACCTCGCTTTGTGGCTCTCTGCCGGCAGTTGTAGCCACAGTGGTTGCCCTGTGCCAGAATTGAACTTGGTACATGGCAGGCCAGCAGGCAATATTTGTTGAACAAAGGAGTGACTGTTATGAATGTTCAAGGTAATAATATAGTTTCAGCCCAATTCATTGAGCACTTACCGTGCACCCCTTGAAGCACATGACTTCATTTAACCCAACAATTTATGAGGTCATTTGCTATTATCCCCACTTTACAGATGAGGAGACTGAGGCTCCTTGGTTTAAGCAACTTGATGAAGTCGCATGTCTCGGAAGAGACAGGACTGGAAGCCAGGGCTCATGTGTTCCCACCTTAAGTGGTTCATCTTCCCAGAGAGAGGTCATTCGCCATTGCTTTATCCCTCAACATTTTCTGTCTCTTTTCCACAGGTTTTCAACCAAGTACTGGATGTCTCAGACGTGCACAGTCTGTGGGAAAGGGATGCTTTTTGGCCTCAAGTGTAAAAACTGCAAGTAAGTGGCTGCACCTTAGAGTGACGTTTTTCCAGCACCCAATGCCACCTGGAGCCATACCGGCTCTGAAATAGCTTCTGGGAGTTTGGTTTCGTGACTCTTGGAAGAACTGTTTGCTTTGGTTTTCAGAAATGGGTTTGAAATGAACCTTTACATTTGGGTATGGGGTCAGGGAAAAGCAATTCTGAGTAAGAGCTTATGGAAGATTCTGGAAATGCATAATGCTGCCCGCTGAGGCATGATGGCACCTCACATTTTCATAGCATCTAAGGTCCAGGGTTGGCAAACTTTTTGTCTAGTTGACTAGATAGTAAATATTTTAGGCTTTGCAGACCACGAGATCTCTGTATCTCAAAAGCAGCCATAGGCAGTACAAAAACAAATAGCCTTGCACATTTATTTTTTTTCCAGTGCAACTTTATTTGCAAAAATAGGCTGCAAGGCTGGCTTTGGCCCTCAGCTGTCATTTGCCAGTCCCGGAGTTAAAGTTGGGAAAGTTCTTTTCTCCTCAATTTTTTCCCTTCGCAGTACCTCTCTGAAGGAGTGTTACAATTCTCCCCATTTTACAGATGTAAAGGCTGAGTCTTGGCAAGGAAAAGTCATAGCTAGGGAGTGGCAGCAGAACTGGAACTCAGACCTCTAACTCCTGTCCTTCCCGCTTTCTGTGGCACTGTGTTGGTCTTGAGTTTTGGTGAGAAGGCCAGGCCACCCAAGCACCCCACTTCCCACCCCTTCCACAGCCCCATTCCAGGTCACGAGTGGCAAAAAGTAAGGCGGCAGGAGGAAACGGTGACAACGGATGAGGGCTCTGGAGTCCCACTAAGCCAGGTTCAACTCCTCCCAGCTCAGCTGCTTTGTCACTGTGTGACCTTGGACAAGTCCCCTCACATGCCTGTCCCCAGCATTTCATCTGTGTGAAAGGAGCAACCATCACACCTGCCGCAGGTGGCAGTGAGCATTCAATAAGTCAGCACACTCGGGACATGGCACAGTGCCTGGCTCAGAGTTCAGTCCTGAGAAATTGCCAAGGCCTTTCTGTCTGGCCTTTCTCCTTCCATAAACTAAATATCCTCCTAGGTCTAATTACTATAAAATAGTCAATTATATTCAACTGTGTGTAATGGCTACAAATGAATGCTTTACAGAAGTCACTTAGCTTAGAAGATCCTAGGAGCCCCTCTTTCCCCTCTTGCCTGGTTCTTCCTTGTATTTCATGACTGCCATCCTCACCTTGGTCCTCTGTGGACGCAGGATCTCAGGTGGCCCCTGGTCTTTCTGAGTCCACAAGCCCCAGGCCTTCAGGTCTGGCTGGCAGGCTGTTTGATTTCCCCTGTATACCAGCTACTCCAAAGGCCTGTCCCCTTTGTATCTAGTCACCCCGGGTTCCAGGGGGGAAATGACAACATTCACATCCCCACACCTGCCACGTGGAGGCTTTGAAGTCAGGTAAGCAAGTGACAGGGACACAGCTGGGAGTAGCAAGGCGGAACACTTCATTTTCACCATTAGTGGCAGAAGTCGGAGGTAGCCTTTGCCGCTGCTCTCTGTTCTAGAAGTAATGAGCAAAGGCACAGGCCCTGCCAAGGGTTGGGAGGGGAAGTCGGGGAGACAGCTGGCTGCAAGGAGCACGGGCTTTGGAAGCAGCCAGAATTGAGTTTGGGTGGCAGCTCCATTGCTGAACTCCCATGTGAGCTTGAGTAGTTTGTCATCTTGGGGCTCAGTTTCCTTATCTGCAAAGGAGATGTGATATTGGGGCTGTTGGAAGGAGTCTGTGAAATGTCCTTGCCCCGGATTAAAATGTTTTATCAAAGAACATTCCTCCCTGCTCCATCTTGTACCAGCAAAAACAACTCCTGGCATGTAGGAGGCAGAATGCAAACCAAGCCATGGTTGCACTGCACCGTGGATCTTACCAATTCGCTCAGCCCTTAGAAAAATCGCCAAAACGGTGACAGCAGCTGCTGCAGCTGCTATGAAATTCCAGCATGCTTCAGGAGTTTTGCCATGGTCCTTGTAGAAACTACAATAGAATTTTGAAGCTAACTCCAGTGCGTAATTTTGAGCATGCATTACTAATATGGCCAGTGGAAGTTCCAATTTACTCGCCTATGAATAAAATCCTGCAGCATTTTCTATTAGCTATAGAGAGAATGGATGACCATTTAGATGTGTTTTCAAAGATTGGCGAGATTTTGGATGCACTTGTGAGATGAGAGAAGGGCTGGATGGGGGGTGAGGAGTGGGCAACGTTCAGACCCCGTTGTCAAGGAGGTTAGGGGAGACACATCTATAGAGGGATGGATTTCAATACAGTTGAAATGTATGCAAAAGAGCAGCAACAGGTGAAATTTCGGAGAGACGACACCGAGAATGGCGAGGCAGCTTCTTATACAAAATGGACAGAACCATTTGTTCACTTATTCAGTCAGTATTTATTGAGCACCTGCTGTGTACCAGGCACTGTTCTAGACTCTCGAGGAAACAACAGTGAATAAAACAGATAAAATCCCTGCCCTGGTAGAATTTATATGGGTGAGAGGTGGGCAGACAGTAATCAAGGTGTAATAAGTTAGTAAAGTTTGCAGATGATACAAAGTGCTAAGAAGAAGAACAAAGCAGAGAAGGGAGATGGAAAAGGGCCAGGATGGAGTCTGCAGTTTTCATTAAAGTGGGCAGGGATGGTCTTTACAAAAATAGTAGTGTGTGATCCAAGTTCTTTCCTGAGCATCCTGAGGCATGGATTTGAACCTGCCCAGGAGGAAATGATGGTTTTTTTGTTTTGTTTTGTTTTGAACTCAGAGCAACCCTGGTTCTGGGACCGCCAGGAACTCGGGGGGGCGGGGGGGGCAGAAACCCCTAGAATTTGCATTCCAACAAGCTCCTAGGTGACGCTGATGCTGCAGGTGCTCGGACCCCACTTTGAGAACCGCAGCTCTACCTAGAAGTAGCAGTTTCAAACACAAAACCAAACTGTGTGGTCCAGCTGGACGTTTCATAATGTGAGATGTTCGTGTAAGGATGCACAGGCTTTGCTGACTATTTTCCAGGTGTCCTTACACCCCTTAGATCTGGGTCATTTTCATCATCATCTTTCCAGTAAATTCTTCCAGTGCATGTTTGTGAGATGAGTCAAAAAGATAGCGTGTGATTAAGAACCCAGGCTGTAGGTCACACACACCTATATTTGAATCCTGGCTCTGCCACCAGCTGGTTGTGTCACCCCCTTTGAGCCTCAGTTTCTTTCTCTGTAGAATGGGGATAATAATATCTACCTCTATAGCTTGTGTTTTTTTTTTTTTTAAGTCATGTAATTGATCAGGAAAATGCGCATCTTAGCACCTGGCTTAATCAAAACAAGCTATTACTAACATTATGAATTAGCTTCGTGGTCCCCCTATACCCAGCAAGCCAGAAACATCTTCTTAATCTCTAACCCTCTTCTCTCCTGCTTCGGTTTAATGCCCACTTCCTCCGGAATTATCATCAGCTGTCTTGTTGGCGTTCTGAATAGCAAGATTAATGAAGTAATAGGAAATTAAGACTCCGAAAGCAATTTGCAGTTATCTAAATCTAGGCATTTTCATCTAATAGGTTCATGAGCGCAGAATGGAGTTTAGCTCCAAGTGGTCGGATGTCAGCACAATCCACATACTGTCTGATAAGCTGGCAGAAGTTTTGCTTTTGCAGTGAGGTGCTGATGGATGTCCCAGCCTTCAATCATGCGTTATCTGTAGCCTTCCGACTTCTTCGGGGCTTTCCACAGGTTTCTGCAGAGCCGAGGTCTGGCTCCTTGGAATTCTCTCTGTCCCTATCTGCGCTTCTTTCGGGAAAGTGCACGACAGTGATTTGGGTGACTTGTGCTCTAAAAACCCGAGAGTTCAAAGCGAGGTGCATTTTTTTCCCCCTTCACGGGCTGGAGTGTGGGAGGGAGGGAGACATTTTCCAAAACCGCCAATGGAGAAGTAGCATTTTCACTGTCTCCTATGCTTGTTCTAGCACATTCTCTCTTCTCACAGACTATGCTTTGGTTCCGGTTAGGTTAGCCAGCCCTGGCTGAGGAGCTGCCATGTGTGGGGGCTCTGTGCTGCCACATGGGTTTGAGGGTGAAAAGGATGCACTCAGTGTCCTCAAGGTGCTCACAGTCACTGTCACCTCTCAAGGTGTGCCTTGGCCCCACCTGTCTCAGGGGCAAGGTGGTGGCTTAAAATTGCAGTCTCCTGAGCTCTTCTGCAAACACCAGCATGCTTCTCCCCACACCCCGAGCCTCTGGGCACAGGGCCTGGAAATCTGCATTTAGTTAGCCTCCTAGATAATTCATATCTCTACTTAAGTATGAGTAAGGAACTTGAATCTAGAAAGGGAGATAAACAAAGTCAGTGCTAGCTGGGCACAGGGACAGGAGGATCATTTGAGGCCAGGAGTTTGAGACCAGCCTGGGCAACACAGTGAGACCCCATCTCTAAAAAAAAAAAAAAAAAAAAATCATTTGGGGAAGTGCTGTGGGGGTCTACCCCAACATAGGGGGATACATTCTATATATCAAGGGAGCCCATCCGGGAGGACCCTGAAGCTAAGTATTGAAGGAAGAAGAGTTTGCCAGGTGAAGCATAGTCAGGTGTTATGAGCCAAAGAGACAGCTTGGGCAAAGGCTTGGACCAGGACTTTAAAGGCCTTGAGCACATCTTGCAATTGTTTGTACCATGCAGAGACTTGAGGAAAGTGGAAGCTGATTTTGCTTTGCAGTCTCAGAACTGGGCTTCGCTCGGGAGGGCCAGCTGCAGCCACGATTCCTGGTGCTGCTTACCTGGGGCTCCAGGCAGGGATGGGAGGGGGCATACTGCTCACTGCCCACCCAGCCCCACTCCTAGAAAAGCAGTCTTGGACTCCGGATCTGTCATCATCCTGAGAGTGGGGTGTTTACCAAGGACAGGGCCCTGGGAGGAGCATGCCTGTGTCAGGATCCCCCGTCCTCTGGTGGCAGAATGGGGAGCGTATAATCA